ATAGGACAAGAAATCAAAACAAGAATGTGGGCTGTTAGTCTTACTATCACTCACACCCATACATCTGTCCAAGAAATTTATCGGCAGGTCAGGGTAACATGCTTGACCTGATCAAAATATATTGTAAATTATTTTGTTTTAGTTTTTTTCAAAAGTTGGATGTCGCTATGAGTTAAGTTGTATTTAGAACTTAGAACTGTTTTAAAAATAATTGATTCATTTGAAATTAATCCAATGGAAATCAAAAGAAGGAGAGTAATAGATGGAGCAGAAAAGAAAAGAAACACTAAATAATGAAGTTTGACTTCTTCTCAGATGAAAATAACACGAGTTAAATGCAAAACAACAATAATTTGATTTAATTCATTCAATTTTTTTAATATAGAGAATTAACTTGTCTATCCAAATTTGGCACACGATAAAGGTCATGCATCATTGTCTTGCACTTTTCATCTATTTCTATTTCAATAACCACAAACATTTCATCATCATCATCATCTTCTATTTCATAAATTTCGTCATGGTGATTATTTTTTGCCCTGAAGTATTGTTGGTGTTAATTCAGGTTTTTTTTTTCATTTTCTACTGTATGGAAGCACTTTTTTCCTATTATTGCTATGAAAAAAAGAAGAAATAAAGAATCACATAAATCTTGAATAGAGTAACACAAATTATGGAAAATGATTCATATATGTGCTAGGAAAATCAATTGAAGCTTTTCGCTTTGCATGTGCCTGCAGGGCAGACCAGACCAAGCCGAAAATAAGTGACCTACTGACAGTTCTGACACCTATACCGTCTTCTGATCATTGTGTTTTGTAAGCGTTGGCTGCTTCTTGACATCTTCTTTCTCTTCCTTCCGAACATTGATGCAGATATTTGAAAGGATCTAATTGTATGTTTCGCTATTCTACAGTGGCACATATACTTTTGCTCTTGATAGCGACATTTTTCCAAACAGAAAGTAGTCTACAAAGTGTCGCATGTTCGCCTTCTACATGATTGTATTTATCTCGACATTTTCTTCTTTCTCTTGGAAGCAAAATATTCTTGACAATCGCACGTGCTTTCTCTGTGAATACATTCACCTATGTAAGCAATACGTGCAAGGAATGATTAACGTTATGTTTCATTACTTCTTTCGTTGTTAGTGATTGATTGTATTGACAGCGTGGCACAGAATGAATCAGATTGTAGATTTATTTTGCTTGCTATGTAAATAAAAGTGTCCAATTTGACGTGCTACAATAGAAATGAACAGTACTTCAAACTGATCCGATTGATTACAATTTGACTCAGAAACAATGTACAATATTTTTCGTATCTTGCTGCTGATTGTGCTTATTATTATGGTTGGTTGTCAAGGAGGTGGAGGGCGTAGCAGCAGCAGTAGAGGCAGTCGCAGTAGAAGTCGAAGTGGAAGTGGAAGAAGTAAATTCCGACTCATATTTAGGCAGTGCGCGTAAGCACACATTCAGTAGTTTTATGAGGGTGTGACTAATACTTCTAAGAAGAAATATAAGCACTCAAAAATGAAAATCGAACATGTTAGAAAAAAAAACAATTTTTCTCTATATCTTCATTCAAGAAACTTTCTCATTTGTGAATCTGAAATCTCTTTAGCAACTTCTATTCGTATGTTCTTTAACCCAACTAAATAATCTTTTTATTCATAATTTTGCATGAGTTTGATGCATACTTCTCCATTGTAGCTCGTTGGTATAGTGGAAGACCAAAATGTACGAATGATACTTGTCAAAATCAAAACGCCACTGAAACTTGTATTACGATTGCCGGTATCTCTTGCATAATCGGAGTGATATTTTATTTGAAGTGGCGGTCAGATAGACCGCTACAATCAAATATGTCTTACGTTGCTTTACCTTCAAATGAAATCGATGAACAAGTATTCAATCAGTTTGAGTCGGGTTTATGGTCAAGTCGTTATTATCAATACGATGCATGGCATGGATCTCATCAGCTCAGTCTCTCATTCGATCCTGAAACATCAAAAGTGACAGGCAACGGATCGGATGACGTCGGTGATTACAACATTGAGGGCATTTACTCGACAACAACCCATTGGATGGGTCTGACAAAGAAATATCAAAATGGCACTGGCGATCTATCACAGAATCTCGGACATTATGTTACAATTCAAGTGACTTGGAATACAAATCAACGTCGTTTCGAAGGCAAATGGTTTGTTCGAACGAACAAGTACAGCGGCGAGAACAAGTTTGAGCTAAAACTGGAGAAAAGCTATGAAGCAATCGAATAACATAATTGTAGTCGAGAGTTAATTAGTTTTTTTTGTCTATTTTTCATATTTTTGTAAACATAATGTAATGATTACAACCACAGTATTTTACATTTGATTATTCTCCTGTACTAGAGAAATATATATTTTTAGTTCGAATTATCTTCATCCAAATATCATTAAGTCTGTTATCAAAAATATTGATGTGAATGTTGGTGTGGTTGTGACTACAGCCATCTACCCACATCCACACCCTCTGGATATTTAGTGCATTCGATGGATCCATTTGCATTGCTGTAGGTGCCTACAAATTTTCTCGTTGTTTCTGTGACATTATTCGATTAGTAGTGGTTCTCAGTTTTCGGAATATGAGATGCTTGGCAAATGACAAATATGCAGCAACTATTGTGAGCAAAGATGGTGAAGAGGGATTGTCGAGCTTGAATTATGAAAAGACAAGATTCATGAAAGTCAATAAATTTAATAAAATGCTGACATGTGATTGTCGTCCAGTGCATGTTTCACATATGATTGAATTCATCAATATGTAACTTGAATAATTCTAGGATTATATTTTTCACCATTGCGTGACAATAGCACAAGGCGAATACGATCGATTGACGTATATAATCAGAAAGCTGAATGTTGACCGATACTATATATCACCTGTAATTTTATATTCATCACATTTCTCTCTCTCTCTTTAAGTTCATGTCAAACAACTAATCCTTATATATTGAGCAAGTACAAAAATAAGTTATTTCATCACTCGACTCCTCCGCTAAATCCAAAACAACACTTTTGTATACTAATCTACTTACAAACACTTAAGTAATAATCCATTGAGACTACTCATCCAAGTTTCATCAAATGAATCCAATGCTTGTTGAACTTAACAAATGCATCGGACCCTCGTGCTCATATAGATAACCAAAGCCGCATCCGCATTCACACACTGACACCAACTTACCTGCACAACTCCAAATTGAATAATCAAATGTTTAGTTCTATTACATATATCATTCATCAAATCGATAACTTTAAATCAAGTTCGATTAATTACTTTTGAGTTTGGGAATTTAAACAAATTTTTTAATCTTTCGACTTTTGAGGACAACAGTTATTGTTTACACTTTCAATAGACCTATCGAAATTTCATTTATTTTGAACTATATCTATAGTTTTAAATTATTCAATTTTAGATCTTTATCATGGAACTAGTAGTCGATTGAATATCCGGTATTTTGAAGTCGAAAATTTGATCAAAAGTCCATTCAACGGTTCTTCTTCAGTTTGTAATTGTTTAACAGTTTTATCTTTTTCTTTTCGATATCAATCAAACAAACTTTCAAGATGAACACTGAAATATATTGAAAAATTTCGACTGGTCCTTGAAACTTATTTGAAAATATCGATGAGCGTCTTTCGCTTTACGGCGTACTATTGTTGGAGCATTTTCTAATGTTTTAGTCAAATTGATTTTTAAAATAATGAACGTCACTTCTTGTCACGTTTTTAATATTGAGAAACGGCGATTTTTCTCTCATCAAAATACTGCCCAAAACAATATTTTCAACTTCATGAATCTCACATTCCATTTGATCTATATTTATACATAGAGAGAGAGAAATGTTAACTGGCAGTATGCTACTGTTATTACAGTACTTTCATCACTTTATGTCTAATGAAAAACAAAAAACACAAGATAACGACGACAATGTGTATCAAAGATATCAACATGAAAAAAAAACAGATAGATACAATTTTGCTGCTGTCATCGCTTTACTTTTATCAGTTAATGTATAAGTGAAGATATTATATTTATTAATCAATAGTACCGAGAGAATCAATATCAGAAGTAATGATACTTTCGACTTTCATATTTATGGGTCTATTAACTCAAGTTTTATCTCAAGATTCGACGTTGAACTCTTCTGATGGTATCGTTATACATCAAGTAGAAGTACAAACAAGTAGCATTGGTCGCATTAAATATGACGATGGTGAAGTAATTCTCTATCAAAATCAACGCAAGCCAACTGATATATTTTTTACTCCATTTCCTCGTGTCAATCCGTTGAGTAGTGAATGCCATGAGAACATACTAAGTGGACACGTCGAATTAAGTCTATCCGTCGAACTTTATACTCCTTTACTTATTCAAGTTATTCAAGGTTACATG